GACCAATGGTACGCGAGTGCTGAGCCACTTGGCCAGGTCAGGGTAGTGCATTGCCACCCAGCTAGGTTGCGAGTTGTTTGGCAGATGGGAGCCCTTGGGAGGTGTTGAGAAGGTTTATTCTTTGAGTCATTTGCAGAATGAGTGGGCTCCCGGCATGAAGCCTCAGCCAGATTGGCCTTTCGAACTCCCCAGGGCTGACGAAAAAGGGGCGATTAAAAAAAAAACTAAACCCCTAAACCCTGAACCTCTTTTGATACCTTTGATTTTTTGATCGGACTGGCGCCACTTTGTCCCGAAGCATGTGGGACTCTTGGGTGTAAAGTTGCAGGATTCGGGCTCTCACCTGTAGCACAAAGAACCGACAGGTCCTTCGGGCTCCCTGAAAAACGGGGAAGTTCAACCCCTGCAGACCCCTGCAGACCCCCAACCTTAAATCCCTTATCCAACCTCTCTCTCTCAATCCCTTGTAGAATCATGCTTGCAGACTCCTACAAAACATGTTAGTCTTTTGAGGGTGAGTGGGTGGGTGGGTGCGATGAAAAGCGGAGTCGGAAATGCTGGGATGTCTCAAGCTTCGCAGCTTTTCATTTACGGGGTTGGTCAGCCTTGAAAAGATTTTTTCGGGGCTTCGCAGGAACTCTGGAAGAGTTTCAGAACACACAGGGGGGATTTTTTTTGGAAGGGTCCATACTACTTAGGATCCATGTCGAGTTGGCTCGTGTTTTGACAACCCCCAAATTTAAAAGTCTGAATCACCAAACAAAGCCTTCGGATACTGGAACTTTCAGTTTTCCTCCTAAACCCCAAAACCCTAAACACGAAACAGGCGGACGTTGAGCCATCCGAAAACTCGAGTTGCTTCCGAAAGCCAACCGCTGAAGCCCCAGAGCCCCAACTCTAAAATCCGCGAAGCCAAAGGGCTCATGGCTGCGGCAACAGGAGCCTAGTGCCGTAACCTTGCAAACCCCGCTTTTGTCAGGCTCTGTATTGGGATGTCCCCAAGAGACCAACAAGCTCTCGATTCCGCAATCCGGGAAGCCTCAAACTCCAAGCCTTAAGCCGTGAACCCTACCCAGCTCCCACCCTAAACCCTAAACCCTAAGCTCGGGCCAGGCGTCGTGGCGACGGAGCGTTTGGTCCTCCGAACAAACGGCCTCTGCAGGTGCCTACTGGGTTTCAGGGCTTTGCGCCCCGAGCCCTCAACCCCCTCAACAGACGTCGCAGGATTGCAGCAGGGTTGTTCTAGAGGTTTCTCCACATTTCATGGAGTTTTTAACTAATATGTTTCAACAGCCACGAGTAGCCCCAAAAGCCTCCTAAACCGCCAGAATCAGAAGAAGCCCTCCGATCCGTATTCCGTCAGTTCTTCCACGTCTCCAAGCCATCCGAGTCCCTGGAATCCGCTGAAGGCGGAGAGAAACGACAGTACTACTTTCGGCAAAATGCCACTCTACAATTTTGGTGGTTCCGCATTAGAAGTATATAGCAGAATATGGTAACGGCGCCTGCAAGGCGCCTTCTGTTTTTGCAGATTGCTTGTTGTGGCATGTTGCTAACACCCTGGGAAAACGCACTATTTATGGCCAAGGGCATCAATCCGAAGGGCCAAAAAACCCGAAGCAGTACGTGTTTGTTGGGGGGGGTTTACCGTGCTGAAACCCAGGCGGCGGCACCGGTTTCGAGCAAACCCAGACGAAACCTTTTCAGGCTGTGCATTTCCTACAAAGGCCGGCCAAGGCAGCAAAGGGATCCTTCTGGACTCGTCGCCACTGGAACTGGTAAAGGTAGGACCACAAACCCTTTTCGTTGATGGGCTTGCGCGATCCTGCCTTGGTCTTTAGTGCACACGGTCTTCGGGATGCTGGCTTTAACATGCATCTATGTGCGGATTGTGCGGTCTATCTGCTGTGTTCCTGCAAGCGACTACCCATTGGGACGTGGTTTACGTGTCAATGGGCGTGTGAAGACAGAATTCTTGTGCTGTACATGCGAGAACACCATCTTTCTGTTGGTGGCTTTTGCAGCTCGATCCCCATGCCATAGCAATGTCAAACGAACGTTAATACCCCCCCCCCCCGCCCAACCGCCCCCAACCAACCCCCCCCCATAAACAAAAGAAGCCTGAAACCCTTGAAGCATGGCGTAAACACAGGGCGTGTTAGGGATGCCGTCGCCTACAATACACCAAACCCTATTCTAATTATTCAGGCCCCTACATTAATCCTGGTCTATTGGTGGTACTCTTCTGCACTTTTTGTTTTGTGGTCGCCCAATGATGGGTAAACAGAAGGCCTAAATATCAAGAGGATACTGTAGAATTCCCTTATGAAGCCAACTTTCAACTGATGTACCAATAAAAGCTGCTTTAAGAGAAAAACAGCCCTACGAGAACCACGACGACGCCCCTAAAAGCCTTAGACAGCCTTATAGCACTCCACCCAATCCACTTGAACCCTAAGCCCTAAGCCACATTTAAACCCTAAACTTAACCCTAACTCTCTGTCGGAGACGCGTGCGAATCCCGTAGAAAATGAGCGTATGAACTGCCTAACCCTGATCCAAAGCCCTCAACCCCAAAGCCGAAACGGTATGCTTTATCTTTCGAAAGTTGGTTTGAAACATCCTGTCTACCCGGCTCCCCCTGGTTCGAGCGATGGTCAAAGGGGGCGTCGCAAGCAAGTATCGGGGCAGGGTTTAGGATATCGACCAAACAATAGCTGAGAGAAATCCTAAACCCGCCAAGGTTGAGATTCGGGTGGATGGGTTGGGCAAGCGAAAAATAAACCCACTACTTGAAAGATGGAAATCCAAGAGCCTCAGATTCAGCCTCAAGCTGAAAACAGCAAGCCCTAACCCCAGCCCGACTCCAAATCTTCCAGCGCCCTGCATAAACCCTACATCAGCCTTCTAGACGCCATAGATAAACCCTAAAGAGGCTTTGAAGCCCCTCACATAGCCACCCTCAGAGCAGCTTTTGTCCTTACCTTACCCTCAACCCCTAAAGCATCCTAAAGCATCCTAAACCATCCTAAAGCATCCTAAACCCTTATGAACCCCCTATAGACCCTTGGAGCCCGAAGCCAGAGGGAGTCGCTTCTTGCACAGCTTCGACTCGAAGGGCGGGGCGACACCGCAGGACTTTTAGGGGGTCTCCAGGGTTTTTGTGGGGTTTTCAGAGGGAGGTTTCGGGGGTTTCAGAGGGCTTGTGCTCGGTTTGTGGCCTTCATTGTCATCGGGTTCAAAGGTTGTGGGGGGATAGAGGGCTCAGGAGGGTTGAGGAGGCTTTAGGGTGCAAGTTCAGGTTTAGTCGAGGTTTTGGGGGTTTAGGGTTTTGAGTTTACGGGTCCAGAGGCCTTGGGTCTGGCATGTAGAGGTTCCGTCGAAGCCGCATTACTTTGAGTGGGGTTCAACGGAAACCTATTTTGCGGATCCTATGGTAGCCCATGCACCAAAGCTGCACGAAGCGCCTGTAGACACCGAGGGAGCACCCTGAATCCAAGCGCAAGTGCTTGAACCCTTGGCCTAACCTCTTTGAGGCCGTCTCAATTCCTGCAGAGACCGGGCCACAAGCTCCGAGACCCAAACCCCAACACTGAAAGCCTGAACCTCAACACCTGCAACCCATAGAACTCAGAAGCTGTAGCATGAAATCCGCTGGCTTGTTTCTCTCTCCAAAATCCGGAAATCCAAACTGACGGCATTTTCCCAGACGAAGTTCTCGACCAGGATGGCCGACCCAGGGCCATGAGTCGCTCTCTTCGGAGCCAGGCGGGGATGTTTCGGGGCTTTGTGGCCTTCGGGATGGGGCCTTGAAGAGCACCGGGGCTTTGGGTCAAGGCTTGCGGTTCTTTTCGGCTTTGAAGGGCTTATAACCTGGCTACGGTGGCCATGACGTCTCAGGGTTGAGGCCATGTAGGTTGAGGACACGCGGAATTGCGAGAGTTGCGTGCAGGCTCAAGAATGGGTTCTGTTATACGGTTCCATTCCTACAGACCAGCCTGAGGTTTTCGTGTCGTCGTTTCTCGAAGTTTGTTCCTTGCAAGACTATACATCCCCAAAACCCGAGAGCCCATCAAACCTCAAACGCCGAAGGCCACAGCCCCGAAAGCCAGGGACCCTGAACGCCTCATTGCAAAGGTGCCCACAATAGCCATGTTACATAAAGCTTCCCAAGGCCTCCAAAGTCCGCTATACTGGCATCTGTACGTATAACCCACGCAACCGGAACGCGAAGCCCCACACCCCGAATTATATTCCGAATTTATGCTGAGCGCGACGTTTGTTGCGATCTTGCATTCTCAGCCCGATGCCCTTTAGAGAAAGCTGATTTCGCGTGGAGGTGAGCCGAAGAGACGCTTGCAGGGATTCGCAGTCCTCACTCCGAAGCTTCAAGATGACAGATGAGACCGGTGATATCTCAGCAAAGCGGCGTTTGCCAACCTGCTCCTTTCCTGTCCTTGGTGATCAGGTGTGTGTACCTTGGCTGGCATGAGTGGCTCGCTGTGTGCACTGTGTGCACTTTGCGGAAGTGTTAAAAAGCTGTAAGACTCCTGTGAGGCTTGAGGCTTCCTTCAGGGACAGTCCCGGAGGAGGATCGCTTCTCGAGGAAAGAGTGCAACGGTGTCGAAGAGTGTGATGCGGCTTGACTTCGTTGCAGCGGTCGTCTCTTCCAAGATCGACGCGGACCTGTCCGCGGAGGCCTCAGCCCGACGCAGGTTGCACGGTACATCTGAGGGCGTGATCGGCAGGCCAGAGACTTTCCGACACTTTTAAGTGTCCTGGGACTTCGCCTAGGCCTATAGCGCCCTGCTGTTGCACGCTGACATAAGCTTTGAATCAGCACGAGCATTGGAGAACCCGGTCTCAGCCGGCGAGCGAGCCAGCATGGCCGCAGCCCATGTCGTCTGAAGTGCGAAAACGAAGGGCCGTCGCCGAGGATTTCTGGTGCTTTGCTTTTTCAGTGCAGAGAGTGTGGAGTGTGGGCACTTTTCGACGGCGAGGCTCGAAAGATCACCCCTCCTGCCAGCTCCCCCCGCCCCCCGCCCGTGCATCCTGATCGAGCCATGGCCGGCTACGACAAGGTCCCAGCAGAGTGGAGTCGCCCGACGACCTGGCCGCCCAGGAAGAGCCTGCCCGAGAGACGCCCGGACGCCCCGCACGTGGTCCTCTCAACAAAGTTCGGCGAACCGTGGTACAGCATCTCTATCGGCATTAAGGAGATTCTCGAAGAGCTGGGATGCACTGTCTACAATCCCAATACCGACAACAAGGCGCGCTCGGGGGCCTCAACCGCCGGGTTGAAAGATGTAGAGAGTTTCAATCCCCCCTTGTTTCCAGGCCCTTACTGTCTCAAAGCATCTCTCTCGAGTGAGCGCGGCTCGGTTCAAGCATTGTTCAGTCAACTTTGCTGCCGCCCCTCACCCACAAGGAGCTCTACAAGGACAAGGCCGACGACCGCTGGCTTCGGACTTTTACCGAGAATTTGGACAGGATCCTGGAGAGAAAGAGTGGCTTCGTGCTGCAGATCCAGCAGGGCATGGCCCAGGAGAAGTCAGACATGCAGGTTGCAGAGGAGCGCATGGGGAAGATGTGGGCCGTTCCGCGCATGGGCATTTATGCCTTCCCGACGAGGTCGGCCACCTATACTCGAGGAGGCAACACCCTGGCAGAGCAGTATCTGGCCCTAGCAGTGGAGAGGGCCCAAAAGCAGTGGGAGGAGGAGCGCATCAAAGACGAGGTGGAGATGGTGTCAGAGTGGTTCGAGCCCTTGGAGGGCGACCGCGAGCTGCGCGTCGACGACAGGGGCCATCTCCAGGGCCGAGCCCGCTGCACGTATCCGAGCGGCAACGTCTACGAGGGGGAGTTCCAGGATGGCCGGAGGCACGGCAAGGGGACCTTCACGTATAAGAGCGGCGCGGTCTACGAGGGGCAGTGGAAGGATGGCCAGCAGCACGGGAAGGGCACGTTCACGTCTGCGAGCGGCAACGTGGAGGTCGGCTTCTACGACAAGGACGAGCGCAAGGGCCGCGGGGTGAAACTCAGCGCAGACCGCAGGCAGGCCTGGCTCCTGATGGACGGCAAAAAGGAGCGCGAGGTCTCCGTGGCCGAGGCCGGGGGCCCTCCAAACCAGAGAAAGGGAGCGCCGTGTGCGTGATCCGCTGCAGGCTCGGAAGGTGGCGACGGAGTGCGGGCTGCCACCCCTTCCATGAGACGAAGCGCATGCCTCGGCTGTTTTTTTGTGTGTTTGTGTTATATTTGTCTGTGGAGAACTCTGAGCCGAGGTCTGCGAAGAACTCCCGAGAAGAAAAACCTGAGTGAGGGCTCAGGGCACCGATCTATTTAGATTTCAAATTTTCCAGAGTTTTCAGAGTTTAAGAAGTTCGGCCCTGGTGGTCGGCGGCCCTGAAGGGCCGGTTGGCCGCCGGAGCACTCCGATCATCCTATAGATGCAGCGGTTGCGAACACAGCGCTCGCGAGACTGCAAAACACGTCGGAGTTGGGACTGGGTCTTCCGGATGTCGGGATTCGGAGTTCAGCTTTTTACGGATTTTGAGCTTCCGACACGGTCTGGGGGGGCTAAGGAATGATGTCTTTCTGACGTTGCGATACAGTACAGTGTGGCTTGATCACGAAGCGGGCAGTCTCGGCGGGCTGTACTGTTCGCTGGCTGAGGGGAAACCTTGGGTTTGGATTGGCACCCAGTAGTGTCCACCTACCTGGAGTCTTCGATGTTGGTCTTCCTGTGTTTCATTAGGGTGTTCCTACGGCCCAGCGTTTAGTTTGACTTCCAGCTAGGGTGGATTTCGGGTTTTGGTGTTCAGGGCCGGCCTTAATACAATACGTCCTGGAATTCTAAAGCCCAAGACCCAATGACGCTTTGGAGGTTCTGGACAAGACAGTCGGCTCCAGTGCGGGTGCCGGCGCAAGCTAGTAGAATATGCCAACTTCGCTTCAGCATGAAGCCCCGAACCCCCGAAACCTTGAAGGTTGGATTTGTATGGAGTTTAGGGTTCGGGATCTATACTATAGTTATTATAAGGTTTTACCCTTGAAAGAGTTGAAGCCCAGGTTTCGGTTTCCGACCCGTATAGTTGTACAGGCTGTTTGCAACCCAGCCTCTCGAAGCCAAAAGCTCCTGCAAGCCTATGGGAGATACAGTTTAGGGTTTAGGGTTCTTATACCCTAAACCCTCAACCCTAAACCCGTAAACCCCGAGCCGACTGGGGTCCCTGGGCTTCCCATGGGCTGCAGCTGTGGCCGCTTCGGCTCGCTCACGAGCTGAAGGACACCTTCCTCTGGTAGTAGGTGGTGGCACTTCATACGGGATTTAGGGACATTTGGGAGGATTCAGGGCTTGCGCCTTGAATCCCCGTGCCAAAGAAGCGTCTAACAGGCTCAGCGGGCTTCGCATAGGGTTCAAACATGCAGCTCTTTCCTTCTACACCTCAAACCCCCCACCGGTAGCCCTCAACCCTAAACTCCCGAATCCTCAAGATCAATTAAGTAAGCGACCCGAGACCCTGAAGTCGACGCCCCTCCAAACCCGACGTAGACTTAGATCCGAAACAACGAACCCCAAAGCCCCCCACCCCGGGTTTTGGGTCCCTGGAGTTTCTGGTCTTGACCCCAAAAACCCGACCGCCTTGAACCCGCTTTAAGCTTCCAGCTTCTACGGCAAGCCCTATAAAACTAAAGGCCCTAAATCTCAACCGAGAATCCTGAACCTTAGCTTCCGAATCTTGATTCGCACGTCTTAGAGCTTGACTTGCCAAGCCACAAGTTCTAGAGCCGAACGCTTGCTTGAACTCCCAATGCGAACCTCAAGTCCCAAACCCTAAACCCTGAACCCGACACAAAGAGTTCAGGATTCTACGGCGGAGCCGATGACAGTGCCCGAAAGCATCAACGAAATCAAAACAGGGTACGCGGGCCGCGTTGGGGGTTTAGGGTCTAGGTGGGCCGGTTTTCCAAAAGCTTGTCAGACGCTTCCACGAATAGGGGTACTATATGGGGATTATAATTGCTATTTGTACTGTGGGGTTAGGGTGTTTGCATTGTAGGGTTTAGGACGTCTAGGTTCTTTGTGTAGTTTAGGACTGATAGAGGCGTTGTTAGTTTAGTGAGTTGGACGGTCGGTTGGGTGTTTGTTGCAACGAGAGAGAGGGTGCTTGAAGTCGAGTCGTGACTCGATGCAAGAGCTGCCACTGCAGGTTCTTTACATACTTACCCTAAACCCTTCGGTACGGTGTTTTTGAGTCCAGGCAGAGGTCGTCTTTACGGTTCAACGACGGGACACGTGTCCAAAACCCCTGAGGCGTTATGAAACTCGCCGTGTTGAAGCTCCTGGGCTTGGGGTTTAGGACGAGCGGCGATGATGAATGTGATCACACGTGTTGCTTGCAGCGGTGCAGCCGTGTATTTTTGCTGTTTGGCCTTGGCCTGTTCCTGCACTGTCCTACACTGGGGTCGGGTCACCTTGTGTTTATGATTACGGCTTTAGCTGAAGGGTCAAGTTGTGGTTGGATTCTGGGAACATGGATCGCGTGAGGCGTCTCTTGGTTTGTGGAAGGGGTTCATCGGGTTTGACCTGCGCCTGCACCTTTAAACAATCACCTCCGTTCAAGTTGGCACCTGTCGAGACACTGCCGACTGAATTGTGCGTAATAGGGAGCATTCAATGCGATGAAGTCCAGGTTCGACTTGCTGCTCAGGCTGCAAGATCAACGGCAAAGCAAGCAGAAAGCTCAAGAGTCGGGAGCACCGTATGCTGATTTCCTAGAAGATCTATGGGGGCATGTTGTGATTTCAAGAAATGCGTGCCATGCAGCGGAACGAACCTCGTCAGGAAATGGCCGGGCAAACTTGCCGAACTTGCAGAAGTCGGTGACATTCTCCGTTGGCAGAGGCACATCTCTTGAGCTCTCGCCGCAGCCACGTATGATGTGGAGCCCAGCCGGTCATTTTGGAGCCATGAACTGACATCGTCAGTCTCTCCTATTTTTTTAGGGTTTATGGTTGGTTTAGGGTTTAGGATTTTGGGTTTACCCGATGATGCCTTGCTCTTGGATTTCTTGGCGCTCCTTGCACCGGTAACTTTGAGCATACAGCCATGTACCGCCGAACCCTAAACCCTAAACCCAGAAACCTTAAACCCTAACTCCTAACCCCTAAGCCCTAAACCCTAAACCCAGAAACCCTAACCCCTAACCCCTAACCCCCTAACCCTAAACCCTAAACCCCTGGGTTCTTGGCTCCCTGACCAGCCCAGGAGGCTCCTCGTCTTAAAGGACAGTTCTGGAGCCTTCAAACCATCCGAAAGCGCCATTTTTCCAGCAAGATGCAAGCAGAGACCCCCAAAAAGAGCGGGCCGCGGGTATGAACAGGCAGGGCACGCGGCACCCATAAAATCTAAACCCTAGACCCCTGACCCCTAAACCCTAAACCCCGGACCCCTAAACCCTAAACCACCTTAATGAACCCGAAAGGTGGTTCGCGGTTCGCTGACGCCATGCGCTTCTTTGCCCCTGCCTACGAAGAATGCGGGATTCCGTTCGAGGAGATCTATGTGCTTCGGCTGAATGGGGTCTTATTCTAGGTAGCAGTTGGGAGACCCCTTAAAGGGGATCCTTCTTAACCCTACTTCTGGCTCTCTTAAATGGGACCTCATTGAGAGGGTCTTTCTCCCCAAGTGTTCCTCCTAATCCTAACTCCGATCTCAGGGTTCAAACCCTCCACCTTTGGGGTTGTCGAGACCAGGGTTCTAGGATTCAAGGGCTGTTTGGGTTTAGGATGGCTCGGGTCAGGGGTTTAGGGTTTAGGGTTTAGGGATCCTAGGGATCCTATAGGGTTTAGGGTTTTGGGATCCTAGGGTTTCGGGTTTAGGGTTGGCTCGGGTGAGGGGTTTAAGTTTAGGCATATTGGAAAGTGTGATTTGGGGCATTGAGGTCTTTGCCCGAACCATATAATTCTACGCTGAAGGCACTCCCGGACCCTAAACGAACCACGAAATCCGGGGTTCTAGCAGTAGTAGTAGTAGTAGTAGTAGTAGTAGGGTGTTGCACGCCGCGAGAACTATCGAAGCAACAGGCCAGGTTGACCAAGAAGTTGTGTGCTGTGTCCGTCTCGCCATGACGATCGCCGTGCAGGTGATGTTAAGAGAGAGATGTTCTGGAGCTTCCGCTGTTGCTTTGCGAGGTCTGCGACTGCGCCGTCCTCATGCCGAAGGGAGATTCGGGCCGGAGCTTGGCGCTCAGATGCCGAGTGGGGTGACGTAGGGCTCGGATTTTGCCCGAAATCGCTAAGAGCTCCTCTTAAGAGAGGACTGCGACCAGCTGGTCACACAACAAGCACCATGGGCCATTTGGGTCTAAGAGATTGGATGGGCCTCCAGCGAGTAGGGGTCGGGGCTTAGGATTTAGGGCCAGGGACTGTGGCAGATGGATTTGTACTTGGTTGCCTGGAAGAACGTCTGACCAAATTTGGCTTTGGATGCTGCAGGCAGATCTTGGACATTGCCAGCTTGGTGTGTAGTCGCATTTGCCGACGAGGGTGACTCATGAAGACTCGCCTAGACGATACTGTAGTAAGAAGAGACAGACACACGACGAATGCAAGTCGCCGATATGTTCGACAGCGAAGAGACAGCGTGGCTCCAGTCTGTCACACGTCAGGCTTTGCGACCTCTTGGAGGTGACAACGCTCGACAACCCCAAACCCCAGCCTGTGCACGGGCTATTCTGTATGCGTTCTTCTGCCTTTCGTCATGAGTCATGCGCCATCCGATTTTAACTAGGGCTTCATCATTCTGGAAGCTTCCGGGGCCTTGATTGAGGGCAGTTCGAAGCAGAAAGCTCAAGCCAAAAAGATGGTTCGAGCTACGGCCCGATGCTTCCTCGTGGCCCTCCCAAGCTGGGAGCACGTCTGGGACAGCTGATCTCACCCAAGCTGAGCCGGGATGAGCAGGTAAGCACGGCCGGGCAGCTCTGCTTTCGAACTGAGTGGTTTCAAAATCCCAGAATCAAGACTAGAGCGACTAGGTGCGACTGCTTGTGCATGCCGTGAGTGCGGCTTGAGGCGACGCCAGTGAGTGTGCAGTGCATCAACTGCAGAGCCTTTCTAGCAGGATCCGTGAGTCTCTGA